TTTCTTATTAGCTCTCATGGACTTAGCCTGGTCTCAGGTGTTTATAATCTTCATGTTTTGTGACATCGGTTTGTCCAGTGATTGAGGTTACCTCTTTCTAGCGGACTCAACAGAATAGGTGTTTTCCTTCACCTGAGGACGGAAACAGATCCAGTTTCCGAAACGTCGCGTTTTTCTTAATTATCCTAAAACCAGGACGATGGATAAAGCCCGAAAACCCAATACCTCTGTGTAATATTACAGTGTTTACTTCCTTCTACTTACAATCGTAAGAACCAAAAGACATATTCAATTTAGTAAAAAAAAAAGTCTGATTTTTTCATTGGAAAACAAAGGGGAATCGCTCTACATTCTGGCTTATGCGGCAGTTCTACATCAGAAGGAACTCCGAAAGAGATGTAAAAGAGTCGAAAATGTTGCGGCTAATCCTCATATTCGAAAATAAAGCTTTTTATTTTTGTCCTGGGCGTTAAATTCGGAGATACAGAATATGATTGTAACCCAATGTCGGGGTCTCAGCGAAAACCGCTTGGACATCTTATGTGTCAAGAAAGGGGCTCATGTTGAAATTGTTTAGTAATAAAACTTTCTGAGTTACGCTTTCATATCCCGTACGAAGTTTTATTTTATTTTCGATTTGAAAATTATAGGCCACGGAAACCCCGACAATGATTTAGAATCCCCCTGCATTTCTTGCAAGACGAGGTTCAGCCTGTGCAGGATACCGAAGATACGACCCGCCATGGCAAACTTAACAGTCAGTGTCGTGCGGACACATTTTATCTGAAAGCGCCGTCAGATGGGGCAGGCGAACACTTCGTCCAGCGACAACTACCGAAATGCAGAATGGAAAAGCATTCCGTGTTTATTTCGCTATTATTTACACGGCGGTTTGGGGGGGGGCGAGGACGGGCCCGTTCAGAACTCTCTAAGTACAGCGGACATTGTCTTCAAAGCGAGATGTTGCCCAAGAATACTATAACATGTAAGATTTGAGGCTTTCACGGCGGTGACTATGAAGAAAGCAGTCTTCTTGGATTTGGCACCGTGTATATGTGGTGTTAACCGACGTTTCGGAGGAACGTATCGCCCCCATCTTCAGGGTAGAAGAAAAAGTATAAGAATTCTGCAAGCGACAACACCGTGAGAAACGGTAAAGCAGACTGCTCTCTTCTTAATACTATAACACTACGCAGCAGTCAACGGTGAAAACTGTTTGGGCACGTTCAGATGGGCCCCTCATCAAGACAGTCGGCAACGAAGAGAGTACGTCATGCTCATTCACAACATAATCATTCAACATATCACAAGAGTGGATTCTCCTTTGTAAGCTAAGCTCGGCAGAAAGAAATTCGTCACGAACTTGCAAGTTGCATACCCTTTCAAAGATCTGTTAACTCTGAAATGTAAAGCCGTTAGTGGGTAACGACCTCGAGATAAGCAAAAAATACAAGAGCCGTTACTGAGCAAAGGCAATAACTGGAAAGAGCAACACAGGAACGGTGTTTTCTGTGCGGTTCATGCGGAGATGTTATAAGCAGGACAGCTGGAGCAATGAGTTACTTTTAGGACAGTCGCCAGCCGGTAAGAACATTAGAACGGAAGCAGAACACATTGTTGAATTCCGTCACCAGGCAACGACTGAAGACACAGCAGACTGAGAAGACTTAGTACGTGCTGTCGTGAACTGAAGAGTATGTGAGTTAGCAATACCGCTATAGTTACTTGTAGTTACGATCTGTAAGTGTTCAATAAATCCAATTACCAACCCAAACCCCGTCCATAGTCATTCATACAAGTGACAATATATACCTTCAGGATCGTATTATTAAAGGACACTATCATACGTCACAATTCTGTGCGTCATTCACGCTGGTGCAGAGATTGCAGGAAATTAAAATGTCTGCCGTTGCCACCAATAACAACATGTCTATAACAAGTAGCCGCGCCATAGCTCAAGCGGTTAGTCGCTGGCTTCCCACTGTGGCGGCCCGGGTTCGATACCGGGGTCTGGTCAAGTGGGATTTGTGATGGACAAACTGGCGCTGGGGCAGGTTTTCTCCGAGTACTTCAGTTTCCCCTGCCAATTTTCATTCCACCAATTGCTCCACAATCACCCTCACCTATCATCTGGGGCTGGTACAATAGGCCAGAAGTGGCCGCAGTACAAGGGACTTAGTCCCACCCCACTAGCAATAATATAACAAATTTCATAAAAATCGGTCAAACCATTCTCATGTTGAAACATACATACAGACAGAAACAACCAGGCCTCAGTTCATTCCGTGTGCTCTCCGCACAGAAAGCATAATAAACACTGTCGAATACTTCATAAAATTCAGTAACGGCTATTATTTCGACGTTACGACCCCGCACTCCATGTTCTTCCCTTGCCCGTTTTGCCGCATTCACTTGCCACCCATTAGTACACAGCCGGACATTAGTCAGCGTTCTCTCAAATGCAACATAGGACGAAATAAACAATTCCCATCTAGCTATGGTTCCCATGTATCATCATGCATCCACACTCATTAACTTATATTAAATTACGATTTCCCTGAATATACACGCTATCTACAATTGGGATTTACTTTCTGCAAACTACATAACTGTAATATCTCCCTCACTGCCGCCTGGTGACTCATTTCGTAACTATTACGAACAATAATGACTTCTATGTTGTTAGGGATAGAATATAAAAATCCGCCGAGGTTAGAGTTGTATACGTAACTTGAAAATTAAAGAGAATTCATACACTCACCATTCTCAATTAGAAATACACAAGAAGGCCTTATAAGCCCACTGATCCATCCGTCTATCTATGGCTCTACAGCCCTTGTGGACCTGAGCTGCTTTTCCAGTATCTTAATCTACAGACAGCCGGTAAGACTTCTTGGACGGGGGATCAACCCGTCGCAAGGCTGTTACCTGCACACAGGACAACACAAACACAGAATAAACGCACACTGCCATCCATACTACGAGTGGGATTCGAACTCACGATCTCAGTGTTCAAGAGGGCGAAGACGGTTCATGCCTTAGACAACACATCGCTCAAACTGAAGATCTCGCGAGGACCCTAATTATAAATCATCAGAATTCTGGGTTCATGCCACTGTTGCGTGCACAGCGAACAATATCCCATACAGACAGACAAGGCCGTGAAATAAATAAACACATCACAGAACAAGTAACTTTTTTTTTACCCCACTGTATAATACATTTTTTCCCTCGTATTTAAAGTTGTGAGGATGAGAATGTTGTTTCCAACTTCTTTCTCTCTCCCCTGTGTCTAAATCACGCGGGCCCGGCTTCATTAATTTTCGCTCTCATGCAACCGGTATGGTGAGGAGTAACACCTTTTTCGTGTTCTTGTTCCTGGTGGAAAGACAGAGACAGTGAGGCCCTCTGCCGGTAGCGCCATACGTAGGTTAGGAGAAGGTTATGCAAATACTGGAGAACAGGGGGATGGTGTAGGAAGGGGTTGCATCCACTCTAGACGCAGCAGAACACACCACACGTTCACCCAGGGTAATGCTGGGACACAGAGATGAAGAAACTCAGCGATTTCATTTCGCCTCCAAAGAATTCCTCTTTTTGTTGTATGTACACTTCACTTTACACCCATCACTACAGCAACTGTTGTTTACTGAGCACCCGGTAGCGTAGTTGATTGAGGCACTACGCTACATGTCGAAAGGTCCTGTGTTCGATTCCCGATAAGGATTTTCAATTGATCTAATTCTTTCAGCTGCACTATGGCCCTGGTATCGACTCAGTTTCTAACAGAAATGAGTACCAGGAATCTTTCTGTGAGTAAGGGGCGGCCAGCGAGTAAGGCTGACAACCTTACCGAATCTGTGAGCTGACTGTCTAGAATATTTGGTGAGCCTCGACGTCTCACAGCCCTATGGGCCTCCACAGCCTGTTACAGTGAAAGCTTGACAATTTTTTTATTAACTCTATGAAGCTGAGTCCTTAAGAAGCCGCCAGTTATGCACCTTCTCAAAAATTCCCAAAATTTTATGGAACGTGATGTTCATTACCGTGTTCATAAGAGCCCTCCACCAGATCGCATCCTGAGCCAGATGAATCGAGTCCATACCTCATTATCTAACATCCATTTTAAAATTATCCCCCCACCTACATCCAAGTCTTCCTAGCGGTCTCTTTCCTTCAGGCTTTCTTACCAAAATACTATATACGTTCATTCTCAGGTGTGCTACATGCCCTGCCCCTCTCATCCACCAGTGGGTCATTCTAATTTTACTTGGAAGAAGAGTACAAGTTACATAGCTCCTCATTCAACGGCTGATTACACCGTCAAAATGCATGTCGTTCTGAAAGTCTATTCCTGTCAACAGTCAATATTGGTAGTGGCGCGGGCACGGGTGTTCTCCGAGTACTTCGGTTTCCCCTGCCAATCCTCATTCCACCAAAATTCTCCATCATCATAGTCACCCGGGGCAGGTACAATAGGCCAATCAGTGGCCGCCGTGCCGAGCGGACCCAGTTGGAGCCCCCCCCCCGCAGATCTGAGGTTCACACTATCTTCTGAAAATCAACTTTCAACGGATTACACAGCGTTCCATCCTGGAAGACATAAGTCTTTAAAGCTAGGTCAAGAACCCTGGCTTTCTGTCACCGGGACAACTCTCAACCACAGTGTCAGTAAATTGGGCTACGTTCTTGTAATAGCTACTGCATATATTTCAAACAGTTCTCCTTTTCTTTATTGCTAGTGGGGTGGGACTAAGTCCCTTGTACTGCGGCCACTTCTGGCCTATTGTACCAGCCCCAGATGATAGGTGAGGGTGACTGTGGAGCAATTGGTGGAATGAAGATTGCCAGGGGAAACCGAAGTACTCGGAGAAAACCTGCCCCAGTGCCACTTTGTTCACCACAAATCCCACTTGACCAGACCCGGGATCGAACCCGGACCGCCGCGATGGGAAGCCAGAGACTAACCGCTTGAGCTATGGCGCGGCTCTTTTAAACATGGGCCTGTCCGGGATTTGAACACGGGACCTCTAGCACCCGAAGCGAAGATCATACCCCTAGACCAACAGGCCAACAGTTCTTTAAAGAAAGAGGTTAAGGTATCGACCGGCTTAATCTATTAGGAACTACGCACGAAGACGTAAGCGGGAGTGGAGGTACAGCTCCACTATTCTTGATCTAGATACCAGAGGTGGGTGAGTGTTCTCTTTCATGCCCCGGCCCTTCACTCCCGCGGAAAGATCTGGGTGGGCCCCAGGAGCCGTCTAGACGCTGTGGAGGGAAGAGAACCCTTACCCTGGCCGGCCATCCCGTGATGCCTCGCTTTACCGACTGAACTATCCTGGCTCCGAAGTCTTCACAAATTAAATGTAAATTAAATGGTTAATCAGAAGAACAGAAAAAGCAAGAGATACTCACTGCACGTATTTTCGAGACAAGTACTTACTTTGTAAGATTTGAGGCTTTCACGGCGGTGACTATGAAGAAAGCAGTCTTCTGGGATTTGGCACCGTGTATATGTGGTGTTAACCGACGTTTCGGAGGAACGTATCGCCTCCATCTTCAGGGTAGAAGGAAAACTATAAGAAATCCGCAAGCGAAGAGACCGTGAGAACCGGTAACTTATATACCACATATACACGGTGCCAAATCCCAGAAGACTGCTTTCTTCAAGTACTTACTTGTTAGTACAGCAGTCAATGCTTAGCCCGTACAAAGCCGGTAGTAACAATGCAATTGTTAACAGACGTCTGCAACTCATGTAAAAAGAGCCCACTACCAACTGCACTTGAAATATCAGCTATTGCAGTCAAGTCTGATGACACTGTTGGTCAAATGAACTCGCATTTTGTAGCTCTAGGTTCGATACCCGTCTACCAGACCATCAGGCTTATGGTTGTCCATGGATTCCGTCAGTATCCACAGAACGCGCTAGTCTAGCAGTAACGTTCTAGATTGCTGCTCGAGAGGTGCTGGGTTCAGATCCCAGCCAGAATGTGGCTATCCTGAATGAGAATTTTCGTGGTTTTCCTCAATCATTTCAGCCATAATCTCGGAGGGCACCTCATTAGGCCTTCAAAATCATTTTAAATCCATCAATCATCCTAACATTGGACCTACACAGTTCGGCTACTGACACCTTTAGCTTGTCAAACGCAGAAATTTATGGTCCGACTATACATATTAAGCACATCGACTGCCTCAGTACATGGATAACTCAATCAGTACAGTGATTAGGCTACGGGCTGGAGAGCAGAGGTATCTGGGTTCGATTCCCGGCAGGTCAAGATATTTTTCTCATCTCCACAACTTCCACACAGGCTCTGAGGCCCAGTAAGCCTCCTATCCAGTGCGTACCGGAGATAAAGCGGCAGGGTCGTGAAGCTGACCACTCACCCCATCCAGTGCCGAGATGAAGAATGGTGGAGCCATACCTCCATACGTTTTCATGGCGTGAAGTTTACAGCACTGATGCGGGGAACATTCGCTGAGAGTACGGGTGCGCCTACAATTACAGCTTTCCACGACGAAGAAACAAAGATTCTATATTAATCCGTCAGTTAACAAAATACGTCTCAAACCAACCACGGTCCACTCCCACCCGCCATCACAAAACCTCAGAGTACTTTATGTTGCCTACAGACTAAATTGAAACTTCTACTTCTTTGCACAAGCAGACGCAACACACTCGGTCTCCCTCCCCCCCCCCTTACGCTCTACACCCCTCTCCGTAGAAGAGACAAGACCAGGGGGAAGGAAGGTAGGGTGGGAACAGCGGTTTTCGAGAGATGTTCTGTGCCAAATGGGAGAAAAATGTATTACGTAATTACTGAAATTTAATTAGAAGTAATTAAAACCAAAGCTCATGGTGCTGGAGAAGAGGAGATGGGGGGGGGTGAACGAGGATAGAGAATTTGTGTGTTCACTTTTTAGTTCCATGCCTCTCTTTCCAAAAACCAACCCCTTTGGCTTCGGTGTGGTTTAGGCGCCAAGTGTATTCTGGGAGGGTATAATATACATGGTGAGGTAATTAATACCAGGGGTAACCTCTTTCCTCTAACCAGGCCTTGGTCCAGCGGGTAATTTGCATGAGCTGTGATTATTTATGTAAATAAAGGCTAGTGAAGAGGCAGAAGTTGGGAGGTCGGCCCTTCTCTCGTGTGGACTTTGAGTATAAGGGCAAGTGAAGAGGTGCAAAGGGGTGGGAAGGGAACCACTTTGCCGCCGAACTATAGCCCGGTGTTTCTCAGTGGCTTTCCTATTGGTCTAATTCAAAGGGGGATGAGATAAGGGGTGGGGTGGCTAAAATTAGTAATTATCTATCTATAGAGGTAATCCTTTATAGTGGTTAGCTTCATACTGCGTTAAAATGGGTTCATACGTGGCAGAGGAGGAATGCGCGGGGATAGGTGAACCGGTATAATGTCGGGGNGGGGGATAGAGAGCGGTATGGAAATTGTGCCGTGTATCCTGGTAGAACAGCTGACAGCGTAGCGGCAAGCGTGACTCCTAAAACAACTTAGATACAAACGTCTCCAATTTAACATGAGGGACGAAACAGGCATTACGAATTGTGCATGTCATAATTAAATTCAATTATTTACTTATTTACATGCCTACTCTATCTAGTTATCTCTGTCTAACCATCTGTCTATCTATCTGTCTGTCAGTGCCTGTCTATTTATCTATCTATCTATCTATGCGTGTCTATCCGTCTATCTATCTATCTATCTATCTATGGCTCGTGAGCCCACTGTTTGACTTTGGGGGTGTCTTCAGTTCCTTGATCTTACAGTCTGTAAAACTCACTGGACGAGAGATCGGTCCGTCGCAAGGCCGCTACTTCCAAACAGGAGAGCATAAACAGCAACCGCTGTTTACTTGCTTTTGCCTAGCAACCGTTGTTTACTTGTCGTTGCTAATCAATGGCGCTTGCGTAGTCACACTTGCTTGAATGTGGGCAGTTCCCACAACGGAATAAACGCACACAAACATCCATGCCTCAAGTAGGATTCGAACCCATGATCTCAGTGCTTGAGATGGCGAAGACAGTTCATGCCTCAGACTGCACGAACATTGCGACCGGCGCGTGCTTACTACACAGCCAAATATCAATTGCAAAATACGCATAAGCAAAGAAGCAAACAAAACAAACATGTACATATACAAACAAAAGAACAAGAAGACAATACGTGTCTTTCAGACATACATTCGGTTTGTTTACGAAGACGTCATCCATGAAATGAGGACACGATGTACTATATCAATTGAGTCCAATCAATGTGTATATAATTAAGAAGAAGCATAAATTATAAAACATTACTAAGAGAAAGGGTTTCGGTTGCAAACACATCAACGTTCTTACCTAATTTATTATGTTCTATTTAAGCATCCTGTTACATTCCACACATACATATAGAAGTCCTTACCTAAGACTGCCTGGAGCTGAGCCCTTCTTGGGAAGCCGAAAGTTGTGCAGCTACTTAAGAGTTTCCCGGCATTTTATGGAACCCGAAGGTCCACTACCGTGTTCACAAGAGCCTTCCAATGGTCCCTATCCTGAGCCAGATCGCTCCAGTCCATACCACCCCATCCTACCTGTCTTAAGAACCATTTTAATAGTATCCACCCACCTACACCTCGGTCTTCCTATTGATCTCTTTTCTTCTAGCTCTCCCACCAATATTCTGCAAGCATCCCCCTTCTCCCCATTCATGCTAGATGCCCTGCCCATCTAATCCTCCTTGACTTGATCATTGTAATTATGCTTGGCAGAGTGTGCAAGTTATGGGCAAATCCCCAGAACAGATCAATCAAAACGAAGACAGCACACACACACACATAGCCAGCAGGCCCAGCAGTATAACACACGCAGTCACAGGAGCAAGACACAACACAAAGCACAATACACACATGAAACTAGGAAGAATACTCCGACAGAAGAAGATAGGTGTGACTCGCGTATTGAGATACGACATAAGGATGACAAATCACGAACAGTTTTAATATTTTTAATATTTAAAATTTATCAATATATATGACGAATATATATTTTAGTATAAAGACAACAGGGCATGCAATGAAGTAGTTTGACGTACATCGAAAAGCACCTGAAGATGGCACTTTTGTGCTGAAACATGTAGTGCAAGAGAGAAGAGTAAGGTGAATAAATGTATGCACTGTAAGACGGTCAAAATAAATCATGGACATTATTCAATCTTTTTACTTATTTAATGACTCCCTCGTATAAGTAATAATTAAATGAATTTAATGTTTCATCTAGATCAATCTATTTGTAATTTGCAGCTTCCATCCCAAATCGAATTCAATATCGTAACAATGCGTCATGGGGTAAAATAATCTCTAGTGACATTCCTTAAGAACTATACTCAAGGACAAAAACTCATACATACAAATTCATATACAGAAAGAGACAGGGAGTTTGTGAATACACTGAAGAGAATTACACAAAGACCTCAGAGGTACATATAAACGTGAAGACAACACTTCAACCCTTTTCTGTATATCCTGGAGCCTTGGTAGAAATGTAAGGTACTTCACTGCGTGCAAGCCTTATGTTTCGTGGTTAATCAAACACCAGAATGCTTGTGTCAACAGCCAATAGGCTTCGCACTCTACTTGTTACTGGTAAGGCTTTACCGCGTCTCTTCTCGGGGTATTCCCCCCCCCCCACTCGGAGATGTACTACTTATCAAACACGAAGTGCAGTAGCGCTTTCGCCTTAGAAACAACTCTTAGCTTGGTTAACTAATGCAAATACTTCACAGTTCCACCACAGGAGGAGAAGTTATCCGGTTCTTAAAAGTAGAATTGCTACAAGTCTTTACTTTCGGAACTTCAGAAATGTGTAGCTACGCAAATAACTATGAGACATTCCACTTTTCATTTTCCAAACAGCGGAACTGTAAGCACTGCTAAGCACAGAACTAAGGCATATTCCTAACCGTACAAGTCTTCGTGGAAGATGTGGGGTTTTCACGGTGGTGACTTTGAAGAATGCCGTCTTCTGGGATGAAGCGCCGTGTAGATCTTGTGTGAGGAGGCGATACGT